TTATTAAAACTTCAGTATATGTTTTGGGTTGGGTTGAGGTTTTCTTGGTGTTTGTTTTTGCTTTTTTGTCATTGCAATGTAGCGGTATAATTTCTCCTACTGCCCGCCACGCCGCTGGGTGGCCCCTGTGCAGATTGAGTTTGTAAATAGATGCCGGTTTCCAGCTGCAGGGAACACAGATGTGGGGGTCGTGCAAGCCAGTATAGGTCACTATTGATGGAGATGTGCCGTCCAGTCACTGAGCCTCCTTTCTGCTCCCAAAGAGACAGCGAAGTGGAGATTTCTGGATTCCTTGGGGTTGGCTGTCGGTGACGACTGTCCATTGAGGCTATCGCACATACCGAAGCCATGCCCTGTGCTTAAAGAAAATGCTTCTTGGTTATTTAAGAGGCAGACCCGGGCTTTTTACCCTAATGCTTTAGTATACTTAACCTGCTTCTTCTGGTCACTGGAGGTGCCCCTCCCAGCCGGCAGCCACTTAGGGTTGGCAAGCTTCTGTAACAGTGTTAGAGTCCACAGTGGACACTAACAAGGCCTGTTTTGTTTTGTTTTTTCTAAGCTCAGGGCGGCGGCTCTTCCCAATTACAATGAGCACTCACGTGAATACATGTGCAGACAGTTCTAAGTCTGGGCTGGCATGTAGTGTGGGGGTAGAGCACTCACCGGCATGCACAGGGCCCTGGGTTCAATCCCCAGCACTACCAAAACTAAAAGAGAACAAAAGGAGTTACAAGCCCTCCCCTGTGGATTGTGTAGCTCACCTTTGTCTATAAAAGAATTTCCAGTCCCACGTTCCACGTAGAGTACTTCACCAAGAGTTAAAACCTAACCGCCAGGTGTTTGCACTGAGCCGGCATGGTGGTGGTCGGCTTCTTAGCTGTGGTGGTGACCATCGTGATCATGAATCTCCACAAGTTCAGCAGAGTCAAAACCGGCGCCGAGGGAGATGCTGGACTGTGGAGTCTTCAAAGACTCGAGCAGAGTTTGGCTAAAGCCTGAAGCCAAAGCTGAACGTCAGTCCTTCCCTTCGTATCCGTGCCCCTCGTGACAGTAAAGAGAGAGGAAGGATGCGGCTCGCGGCCGCAGCAGAAATGCAAATGGTGAGCAAACACCGAGGTGGGCGACCTCGGCTGGCGTCCCTCACACAACACAGCAAGGACAGGTGCTTGTTTCTGTTAGGTTGGCAAACAGCAAAACCAAAAATTAGTGCTATATTGGTGAGAGTGATCAAAAAGAGTAAATGTTCATCCTTTGACAGAGGGCAGTGTTTGCCAGAAGCTTAAGATGTAACCACCTGGCCTGGGGCAGTGTCTCCGAGCAGTCCTCCTTCCACAGGTCCGTACACGTGCTTCAGACTGGACTAGCTCTGTTTGTCTGTTTGTCTCTCTGTTTGTGTGTGTGTGTGTTTGGATGGTTGGTTTGGTTCGGTTTGGTTTGGGGTTTGCTTTCTGAGCCTGTAGCCCAGCTGACCTTGAATTCTCGCTCCTCCTGCCTCGGTCTCCCATGTGTGAGGCTCACAGACACCCTCCGTGCCTGGCTTGTCATGCTGATTCTAACGGCAAATGATCAGAAACAGATGTGATCATTGGGGAGAATAGAAAAATAAACACTACCAGTGGGCACTGTTGTGAAAGCCTGTCATTACTGAAAATAATGAACTTGATCTGTGTGTCCCATCCGAGAACGCAACTCCAGGACAGCACTACAGAGCAAAGGACGAGTAGGTCATGATTCCCATGGATTTCAGTGTAATAAATTAGAGGGAAGGTGTGGAAGCATTGGCAGGGGTGTCAAGGTCAAGATGGAAATTGGCCAGAAGGAAGTGTAACGTGTTTGAGTCCATGCTTCTTAACTGCTTGAATTTATGATGAGGGGTATCCAGTGCTTTCCTAATTTATGAAAGCTCTCAGTAAAATCAAACTAAGCTAGACCGAACCATGGAAAGTAAAGTTCTCTGAAAGATGCAGGAATGAGCCATTTCTCTTTTCCGTTAGTCCATCCACAGAAAGCCCACAGCGACTTGGTGAGTAGCTCGAAATAGAAACAATAATGTTGATCTTAGAGGTGAGGGAGCCAGTGGAGAGGCGGTAGATGGGGGCTGGGACGGATCCAGGAAGTAGTATTAGGAAACGGCAGTGAAATAATGAACAGTTGGCTAATAACACATAAATTTTTTAAATTTGTTTCACTTTTCTCATTTCATTCCTTTTTTTAAAAATATTTTATTTATTATTTTCATTTTCTGTGTGTGCGTGTATCGCCTGCATATAGGTAAGTGCACCCATGTCATGCAGTGCCCACGGAGGACGGAAGAGGCTGTTGGATCCCCTGAGACTGGAGTTACAGACAGTTGTTAGCTGCCACGTGGGTGCTGGGATCCAAAACTGGGTCTTCTGTAAGAGCAGCCAGTGTTCTTAACCACTGAGCCATCTCTCCAGCCCCTCATTCCTTCTTTTAATAAATGTAAGATTTGCAGAGCCAGTTAGATGACTCAGTGTGTACAAGCCTGATGGCTTGAGTGCCAACTCCAGAGCTCACAGGACGGTGGAAGGAGAAAACCAGCCTCCGTACATATGTACCGTGGCTCACACACTCATGTACACACGCCATCTACACATTTACACATAATAAAGTTAATTTTTTGAAAAGGTTTCATTTTTATTTATGTGCTCATAAGTGCAAATGCCGTCAGAGACCAGACAGGTGTCAGATCCCCTAGAGCTGGAGTTACTAGTGGTTGTCAGCCCTGGACATGGGTGCTGGGAACTGAACTCGGGTCCTCTGCAAGAGCAGCAAGCTCCCTTAACTGCTGGGCCAGATCTAGAGCCTCTGTTTTTTTTTAAACCATACATTATAAAACTGTGTTTTTAAGATTTACATAAATTTCCAGAGGTACACCCACAATAATGTTGTTTGCAGCATTGTTCATAGCACAAAGTTAGAAAGAACTCAAACATCTGTAAAAAGAAAACAAGTTTATTCAAGAAGATATTTTAAAGTACGTAGATCTGTAATTACTAATAAGTTATCCAGTGTGTGCTGATTTTTTTTTCTCTCAAAAGCAGACTAAATTAATCCTTTTTCACATTGTGTATGTGGAAAGACATGTAGACGCGACCATCAAAATGTTAGCAGCTAGTTTTCTGAGTGAGTTTGTAGGCATTCACTACCTTCTGCATTTCTGGTGTGATTCCCTAAATTATTTATTGTTTCGTAGTTAGCACATATAATTTTACTAGTAGAAAATAATTCTGTTTTTAAATTCAACCCTTTTTGAAATGGTAGAAGGACCTGAAAGAAATCGGAATGTGGTGTAAGCACGTGGATGTCCCTCGCAGCCCGTGCTGGGTTATCAGTGTTCTGACTTGTCTCTGAGATGTGACATTTGACGTACCTTCCTTCATCCTCCACACATCTTCCTCCACCTCCTGCAAGCTCACCGCAGCCCGCTTGTTCCCAGACACAGTGCACCTTTACCTTGTGAGGGCGCCAGCCAAGGTGTGGCTTTAATGTCACCATAAGCCACACTCGGCCCATCCATACGCTGGAAGGGACTGAACTGTCACTATTCGCCTGTTTCATGAAGCGCCTGTCTTGAGGGATGGAGTCTGTGGGAGGGCCCCTGCTCCCTCTTGGCTTTCCAGTCTAAACTGCCAGAAACTGTTGGTCTCAAGGGCCTCACTCTTGGACCTCCACACTCATTACTGGTCTGGGCCAGAAGACCACATTTTGAAGTGGCTTGTCCAGTCCACAGGAGGCGGGTGTCCGCACAGTGCTGCCGCATCAGCTGCTGACTCAGGGCTGGGCCGGGCTAAGTGGTGGGTTCAGGTTCTGGGTTTGGGTGCCGGTAAAGGAGAGTCCCAGAACAGGCCAAGGCAGTTCTGAGCAGATCCCTGAAGCTTGGCCTTTTGGGGATGTGAATGAGTGTAGGAAACCGGCTCCTTCCTGGAGTAGTTATGACTCGATTAACACAATTCCAAGAAAACTTGCAAGGACTTGTGGCTCTGGCTTCTGGAGACTAATACTCGGTTAGCTGAGCAGGTAGAATGGGATGTCCCTGTGAGTCTCTGAGAGGGATAACAGCATCTACTGGTTACAGCCCAAAGCCTCTTCCTCAAAGGCAGAGTTGGTGCAAAATAACCTCTGCTCTTCCCGTGTCCCCTTAGCTTTTGCCGTGACTTCCCTGTTAGCTCCATTCTGGGTGCCTAACCTTCGTTTTCAACACCAAACACAAGGGTTTAAAACCAAGAGAAAGAAGAGAGCTGAGGGCCGGGACACTATGGGCTCTCCAGAAAGCTCTTGAATTTCTTTGACCTTCTTTTTACTCAACACCAAGCCTCCTCCCACCCCTGCGCCCTGTGGTGAAGGGCAGACCCCGGCCCCAGGCCCTAGTCCACCCCTTGCTCCGCTTGGGCAGAAGTGGAGGTGACCTCCCTCCTCATGTGCCTTTCCTCCCATCCTTCCCCTCTGAGATCCGAGCACCGAGCCGTTCCGTTTCAGGATGTGGTAAATGGTGCTGACCATTAACCTTGCTGGCACTACTGGTGTTTGTCATCAGGAGCCTGTGTGGACTCTGAGGAGGAAGGAGGCCATCTCCTTCTGTTCTCTTTGAAGTCCGAGCAGCTGCTGCTTGGCCTGTTCGCTGAGCTTTGATGGTTCCCTGCGACTAGGTGAGGCGGTACCCTAGAGCCTGGGCCTTGGTAGTAACCCCAGGTTCAGATGCCCAGGCCCTGAGCCTCCTCCAGGACCCTGGCATCCACCACCCACCTGTGTTTTCTCCAAGCACACAACCAGAGATGTATGAGAAGTGTGCGGTGAGACAGGGAGAGGAAATGAGACATGTCGGGAAATAAGGCTGAGCTGTGGGTGGCACTTGGGCTGGAGGCCAGGAGAAGCTCAGAGCTAAGCAGCTCCGGCCATGACCTGGGGCCAGCTTTCGGGAATCCCTTCCCTGACAGAATGAGGTGCTGGACTCAGTCCTGGTTCTGCTTCCCTTGCAGCCGACCCTCTGGTGGGCAGCATTGCTACGCAGTACATGACCAACAGAGCCGAGCACGACCGGATGGCCAGACAGTGGACCAAGCGGTACGCCACCTAGGGTCTGCGCCTGTGCGAGCACACTCACCAAGTGCATCAGTAGCCGCCTGCCCCTCCGGACCTCCGTTCTGTCTCCTGTTTTTATTAAATTTTGAACTGTTCTGTGACGGTGTGTCATTTGTCCCCTCCCCCTTCCTGCCCCGCCCTCCACTTCTCTCTGGACACTTTTCTCCCTCCTTTTTGATTTCTGTTAACTTGAAAGATTTGGGTTGGTTTTTTTTTTTTTTTCCCACCCCAGTGTGGGTGGGAATTTTTGTTTTTGGTGCAAACAGTGTTGGATCTGTAACCGTAAGAACTTTCTCACAAAGCTGCGTATTACTGTGTGGGTTTGGGGTTTTTTGTTGTTGTTTGTTTTGAGTTTTTTTCTTTTATGTACTCTTCAAGAAAACACATTCAGAATTATATCTCGTTTCTACTTAAATGTAGTGCTTAGGGTTAATTTTTTTGTACTGAAGTCTCTACTGGTGGGTGCATGCTACTGGGAGCAAAGTTTTGTACAAAAGTTCCAATCAGAATCACTGTGCATTACTAAGACCCTGTTTATCACTAGCCTTCTGTCCCCCACGCAGAAGACTGTTGGATTGAACAAAATAATATGTATTTTGATTTACTTAAAGTGCTTGTAAATTTCTTAGGGATCTGCCACTTTTGACTGTGGATCAGTTCATGTACGCTTGTATTATTAAAGCACTCAATAAATCACTGTGGCTGATCAACGCATCTCTGCACCCAGCCTCCACGGTGTCCCAGTGGCTCTGCACCCAGCCTGCGCGGTGTCCCAGTGGCTCTGCACCCAGCCTGTGCGGTGTCCCAGTGGCTCTGCACCCAGCCTGTGCAGTGTCCCAATGGCTCTGCACCCAGCCTGCGCAGTGTCCCAGTGGCTCTGCACCCAGCCTGTGCGGTGTCCCAGTGGCTCTGCACCCAGCCTCCACGGTGTCCCAGTGGCTCTGCACCCAGCCTGCGCAGTGTCCCAGTGGCTCTGCACCCAGCCTGCGCGGTGTCCCAATGGCTCTGCACCCAGCCTGTGCGGTGTCCCAGTGGCTCTGCACCCAGCCTGTGCAGTGTCCCAGTGGCTCTGCACCCAGCCTGTGCGGTGTCCCAATGGCTCTGCACCCAGCCTGCACAGTGTCCCCAGTGGCCCTCGCAGGCCCACGTGCCAGGAGGCCTGCCTGGACGGATCACTACAGTTTCCCATGTTGGACCCCAGAGGTTGGTTGTGGTGGATTTGCTCATGAGCATGTGGCCTCTCCAGCCTCCAGGAGCAGGTGATTTTAAGTCCTGTCAAAGGTCAGTGTCATTTTACATGTTAGCTTCTTCTTATCCCTTCTGTTGGATATGCCTTTGCTCAACACTCTGAAAATCTCTTGCTCATGCATGTGCAATCTGGGCAGTCACTGTGCCCAAGCACCTGAAGTTGATTTCTCTCTTCTTCCTGAACTGGTTAGTACTTGTCCTGTAACCTGTTTTGGTCTGGGCTTTCCTCTCTGTGGGTGATGGTCACAGGGACAGGCCATCAAGACTCAAACCTCCGGCAGTGTCAGTGTACTGAAAGGAGGCAGAGGAAACAGTGGGCTGTGGCTTGCTGGCAGGCTCTTTAGGTGCTAACCCTACTGAAACTTCTGCTTTCTGCAAGGGGTCCAGGCCCCCAGTACAGTTTGGTCTCAGTTAAGTAACCATCAGCATCTTTACTGCCAAACTGTAGGATTTACAAATGTAAGTCATATGCCTCTGACTATTTCACCATTTTAAATATCTTTTTTAAAGATAGTTTTTGTTTTTGTTGTTTTTAAGTGATTAAAAGAAGTCCTAAAGAAAGTACAGTTAAATACTCAAGCTGCTGCTTTTAAAAACAAAGCACTCATGAATAATTTTTTAAGATTTATTTGATTTTTATTTATGTAGCACCGTGTGCATTCCATGTATAAATGCAGTGCTCACAAAGGCCAGAAGAGGGTGTCAGTCCCTGAAACTGGAATTACAGGTGGTTATTAGCTGCCGTGTGGGTACTGAGAATTGAACCCAGGTTCTCTGCAAGAACAGCCAGTGCTCTTAACCACTGAGCCATCTCTCCAGCCCCTTCTTTCCTCTTTTAAATAAAGATTTAGGCATGCCTTGTGTGAAAGCCTGTCCTGGTATTCTGGGGCTCTTATCTCCACTGAAACCAGTCAACACTCTAACTTCAGCAGAAAGACACACAGCCAGTAACAGATTCCTGTGAGCCCCTACCCCGCAGGCAGTGGCTGACATAGCTCATGGTCTCTGATCCAGACCAGAGCACAGGGCTGGACCTCCCTGTGGGCTCTTTCTTTAATATAATTAGATAATACAAGATTTTTTTTTCAGTTGCCAAGAATGTTTTATTGCCCTACAAACTTTCCACAAGTGTTTAGTCTTTAGAAAGGCACATGCACATCTTGAAATGTAAAAACCCTAAAAATTCCAAGTAGGATTTAAAATTCCTTAACCTAACACTCATGGAAGGCAGAGGCAGGTGGAGCTCTATGAGATGAGGTCTACATAGGGAGCTCCAGGCCAGCTGAGGCAACACGGAGACCCTGTCTCAAAAAGAAAAAAAGAAAAGAAAAGAAATCAATCCTAAACAATGAACCTCTGTAAAATTCATCTTACTGAATTTTCTTTTGTTTTTGACTGATGCTGCGGACCTGACTGTGCTGTGACTTGCACTGTTTGCCTTTTAAAATGTCAGCTCCATTGACATGTATTTCAATTAAGACATCAACTGTGTTGCATTCCATTTCCAGCACCCAAGTTGGGCAGCTCACAGGTGTCTGTAACTCCAACTCCAGAGGATCCAATGCCTTCATCTAGCCTTAACAAGTACCTGCACTCACATGCACAGGCACACACACACACACACACACACACACAAAATAGAAAACAAATCTTAAAAAGAACGGGGGTTGGAGAAATGGCTCAGCAGTTAAGGGCACTAGCTGCTCTTCCAGAGGACCTGGGTTTGAGTCCCAGCACCCACATGGCCCCTAACAACCATCTGTAACTCCAGTTCCAAGAAACACCTTCTTCTGACCTCCATGGGCATTGCACAACACGGATGCACTCATATACATTCAGGCAATACACTCATACACATAAAATAAAAATAATTTTTTTAAAAAGAATGTTATTTCACAGGCAGTGATCAGGGATCGCTCTAGTAGGAAATCCTGTCCCAAATCTATTAGCTTTCCTGGGAGCCCTTTGTAGGTTTTATACCAACCTGATAAGAAACTATAAAAACTTCTCTTTCATCTCTATGCCAAACACATCTATAGTGCTGTCAATATGCACAGGTGAGGGAGACCAGCAGACTCTTAGTAAAGCCCACTGAATCTAACTTACACCCACAAGGCAATCTGGTCACAACAGGCTCTACAACCCCAGTGAGTTCTCAAAACTGCTTGTAAATGGGTTTTAGTAGTTCAGCACCCAAAAAACTAGAGTTTTGCCAAACATTTACTAAGGCCATTATGTCCTTAAAACTGAAGGATGATTTTTGTACCTTAATTCCACTAACCACCAATTACAGCCAGTTATTTTGTAGATTTGTTAAAATCTCAGCAGATCCTCCATGAGGCAAGACTGTCAGTCGTTGGCAAAGTAGTTTGAGGAATTTATTGATCCTAAATCATTCTAAAGTTCACGGCCTTAATGTGTCCGCACACTGCAAATCAACGGAGCATCCTTCCTCTGCTCTGCAGGAATCCAGCGAGGGTAGGACTACAGACGCAGTCCTCGAAGTCCGGGTTAAACCCAGTGTTCATACATGAGGGCAAACACCTTCCACTGAGCCACATCCCCAGCCTCTTCTATTTTCTATTTTAAGACAGAGGCTTCCTAAGTTGCCCAGGCTGGTCTCAAACTCACAGCCTTCCTGCCTCAGCCTCCTGAGTTTATCTTTACTGCCTACAGATCAAACCTTACTCATGGTAAGCAAGCACCTACCACTCAGCTCCCTTTTCTGTCACAAGACCAGCTCACCAAGTGGCCCGGGCTAATTCTTGGTGTATACAACCAGTCCTGGCTCGTTTCCTAGTTCTAAAGACAGGTGAGGGATTCAGGCCAACTGCAGGCTTCTTCGTGCCCCAAGTGTGACAAATGTGGGTGCTTTTCAGTGAATGAGCCATTTAAAGCATAATCTGCCTTTAGGATTTATAAAATATTTATTTTAAAAAAGGAACTTCTGAGTTTAAAACTTTTACTCATGGTACCCACAGGAGAAGATGGAGGTGATGTTGTAGCCAGTGATCTCTTACCTGTTTATTAATAAATCCACATAGTCAAAATGGGACCAGCCTGGATTACCCAGAATACTCAGTTTCAAAGTTTTCAGTACTGGTTACAGGGGCCCTGGGGAGCTTACCAGTAACGTGAGTGACTGTTGGTGCCCTATAACCCGTGACCCTGCTCAGCAATGCCTTCTCATCCATCTTTTTAAAAATTAGATGGGAGTTCAAAATTCAAGACAACAGTCACACAGTAGGTTATGGGAAATTGAGAGAGTCTGGCTCTGGAGGCTCAGTGACAGCTGTCTTCCACATGGTGCCTCAGAGCACAGGAGCATCCAAGCAGGAGTCTCCGTAATCCCCAATGCAGGCGCAGCCTCTGCTGAGATGGCCTATGAGGAAGATGAGTGCACTTGGGTCTGCTCAGAACGACAAATCCAATGAAGGAGGCCACCACTGTGAGCGGTGACAGCTTTGATCTCCAGCCGCACACCAACACCTCGCTGTGCTCCGCCCTGAACAGCCCCCAAGCAGTGATTGGCAAGCACCGAGCTGCCAAGGAGCTGGTCCATGTCCCTGAGAGACTCCCAGTCACTGCAGCCATAAAATTTAGCGCAATGGTGCACATTTCATTAGATGTAAAACTCATGTCTAGAGGCTGGAGAGATGCCTCAGTGCTTAAGAGCACTGACAGCTCTTGCGGAGAACCCAGGTTCAAATCCCCAGCATCCACATAGTGGCTAACAGCTCTCCATAACTCCAGTTCCAGGGAACCCGATCCCTCTTCTGACCTCCATGGGCACTGCACGACATGAGTGTACTTACATACATGCAATACACACATAAACATAAAATAAAAAGTAATAAAATACTTAAAAAGTACGTGTCCATATAAAAAAATTCCCAAACTCCTGTGTTCTTTAGTGTCTAAGATTTTCAATTGTATGTGCACATACATGCATGCATGTGTGTGTCTGTGAGTGCGTGTACACATGCCCTGCACATGTACAGGTGGCAGGAAGCCAGGAGAAAGCATCAGATCCCCTGGAGCTGGAGTTATGGACAGTTGTTAGCCCCGTGTCATAGATGCTAGGAACCAAGCTTGGGTCCTCTGCAAGAGCAGCCAGTGCTCTTAACTGCTAAGCCATCTCTCCAGCCCTAGTAATGTTTAGTTATTGTTTCAGGTTTTTTTTTTCTTTCAATAGTTGAATGTGAGAAAAAAAATAAATGGGTTTATATAGAAAGTATTTTTAGCTGGGCCTGGTGACTTACACCTGTAAATCCTGGCACTCAAATGGCTGAAACAGGAGGATTGCCATGAGTTTGAGGCCAGTAAGACCCTGTATCAAAAAAATAAAAAGCAATTATTTTTAATATGTCAAAGTTTATAGAAAATGAATTCTGTTAAATATTGGAATCTGTAAAGATCCTTCCTTGATGGGTATTACAAGATAACCCTTAAACTAGATATTTGCCCAACCT